TTAAAACGTGCATAGACAACTTTTTATTTATAAATTCACATGATATCTCAAAATTGATAATCAATCATTAATACTAAAGTACATTAATAATACAAATATATATTAAATTAATACATCTAAAGCGATATGCTATGTTGCTGAAATAAAATCATGTGCTCTTTCTTCCCATCTGATATTATTCCAAAGGCATGCCACTCAGACAGTGGAGAGGGGCTTATCCTTCCAAGTATCCCAGCCTTTATTCCTCCCTCAAACCTTATCATCGAAGCATGCCCAGAAGCACTTGACACTTTCACACCCACACGTCTCACTGTCAACCATGGCATTATTATAAGAACCGTGATGCCCACCGTGACCCAAAACTCTTGGCTTTTCACCACCCTTGATCCGAGTTCTTTTGAGTAGGATCTGCTTTTAGGGTCATAAGAGATTGTGAGCATGATGAAGGCCCAAAGGAGACACAAGGCCATCCATCCTGCAAAACGATGTGTCCTCTCGAACACATTGTGGTGGAGATGCCGAACAAGTGGGAATGCAGCCAAAGATGTGAGACAAAGAAGGGCAAGAATGGAAGAGGAGACACCGATAATCAACGTTGAAGTGTTGTCTCTATCTTTAAGAGTGAGGACTAGTGCGTACACCAGCCATGCAATTGAAGACACGCCACAACCACTGTGTATGCCTCCAAGGCTTTGTAGAAGAGAAGTTGTAGCTGTTTTGAGGAAGAGAGGGACCCATGACCTCCCAAGAGTCTTTACTGCAACCCAAAACACAACACGCAAGAAGGCCTCGCTTCGACAGAGAGTCAAAGCGAGTATGTTACCAATGGAGAACAAAGCAGCCCTGTTCCTTGCATAGGGAAAATGCCCTGTGCTTGCAAGAACCAAGCCAGTAACGTTCAGGGCCAAGCACATAACGAAAAGTCGCTTGTAGACCGTGAACAAGCCTTGATCTAAAAGTATGACAGAAACTCTTGATTCGTTTTTTCTAGCAGGCTTGGATGGTTGCTGAGACTTGTGAAGTGGGTTTTGTTTCTCGATGTCGAGGTTTTCTTCAGGGATGATTCCAAGGGCATGTTGTTCTTCATCGTCGAGGTCACAGAAATGGCTAATTTGTTGTATATTAATAACGGGGTAGAGGGTGTCACACTCGGCTTAAAAAAACTAAGGTTGGCTTAAAAAAACTAAGCTCGACTTAAAAACTGCACTCGATGTCAAGAACTGCGCCCGACATCCCAACGCGAACTTGCATTACTTAACTTCGCAAAATCTTGCGTAATCACAACCAAACACGTAATTACAACATTCAATCGGTAAAAACACTCCAAATAACACCCAGATCACGAATCTATACTCAATTTTATGTAAATTACCTAAAATATTGTCAAAAGATCATACCCCTTGTAACACCCCAAATTTTCTATTAATACAATGTTGATTATTATTTATTTTTGTATAGTTATTTTAGTTAATTAAAGGGTTTTATAAAATATTTTTTTAAAGGTTTGTAATAATTTAATTATTTATGAAAATTTTATGCAAAATTCTGTTTCTTTATGCTGGAACGGGCTGTTCCAAAGGTGGAACGGGCCGTTCCAAACGAAGAAAATAAGTTATTTTTGAAGCAGTAGAACAGGCCGTTCCAAAAGTGGAACGGGCCATTCCAAAGTAGAAAAAATGCCTATGTTGATTTCTCCATAACGGACCGTTCCCAAAGGGAAATGAGTCGTTCCGAAAGTTTAAAAATGCCTAAAAAAATTTGTTAGAACGTGTCGTTTCAATTATAGTCAATATGTGTTAGATGGAACTCCAGAACGGGCCGTTATAATTTTAGAACGGGTCGTTCTGCTTTTTGGAAACGGGCCGTTCCAATTGAAAAATTTACGTATATTTGAAGGCTTCGGAACGGGCCATTCTGAAATTAGTACGGGTCGTTCCGGGTGTGCCAGGATGCCTATAAATAAGGGTAGGGGGTGAAAATTTTATAACAGAATAAGAAAGTGAAATCTTAGAGAGAGAGAGAGACAGAGAGAGAGAGAGAGAGAAAGAAAGAAAGAAAGAGAGGGAAAGAAAGAGGGAATCCAGAGGAGGAGGCCCTGTCCAAGTTTCAACTCCGCTTATCCAGGTAAGGGGGGGAGTGAGAAACCTCGCTCGGGGATGTGGGGATAATTGTTGGATAGTTTGATTGTCGGATTGGCCCCCAATCCCTTGCCTGTTGTTCTGTTTTTCTGTTTGGTTTACTTTGTTCCCTGTTACTTTGTTCCTTGTTACTTTGTTCCTTGTTACTTTGTTCCTTGTTACTTTGTTCCTTATTACTTTGTTCCTTGAAATTAAGTAATAAATGAATATGGAATTAATGCTAAAAAAATAAATAAGTTTTAATATGAAAAAGAATGATCTCTGTGAATTCCTGTGCGGACCTTATGAGGAGTATTTATGACATGACCATGTGAAATATGGACAAATGACATGAGACCTAAGAATGGACTATTGAGACAAGCTGTGATTATAAAATATGAAAAGTAATGACATGATATACTAAATGAAATTCTGTAATAAGTTAAATGTTGAGTCAATGAAATTATGAATGTGTGACATGCATCATATACATATATGACTCCAGGTGTGCCACTGAGGCCGCATACCGGTGATGTAACATGCTAACAAGGTGTACCATAGGGTCACCGACAATTGTGATATGCTAACAAGGTGTACCTTAGGGTCACCAACAGTTGTGATATGCTAACAAGGTGTACCTTAGGGTCACCGACAGTTGTAACCAGGTGTGCCTTAGGGTCACCAGTGATGATATGTGAAACTTTCTTGTGGCGCCATGACATCATAGCATGATAAATGAGTACATATGTGATATTGATTATTTATGTGTATTGTTTACATGTGATTTATATTTGTTGCGTGTGTGCTATCTAACCTTTATTTCTTCACCTAAAACTGAGTGAGATGTTTCTCACTCCCTTGTTGTTTTTGTATATGTTTAAATTATGTTGCAGGTGAACAACATCATGAGGATGTTGGTGATGAGGCTTAAGGCTTCAGTTGGGCATGCTCTGATAGGATGTGACATCGGGCATAGCTAGGCTTATTTTGGATGTTATTGTGTTAAAAAGCTTTAATTTTCTCTTCTTTTGTAATTTTGAACGTTCTTGAGAAAAGACCAAAATGTACATCTTTGTCATATTATTTTTATTACATGATTTGAAAGTTATAAATTAATTCCTAACTAGGAGGCACTGCCACCTTTACTAGAATTAATCTATATTTTACTTTATATGATTTCTTGAATTTTAATACTTACATGTTGACTTTTTATGATTGTTGAGTTACGAATGTGAATCTTCTACCTTTTGAGACAATTGTTTTATCCATGAAAAATATTATTAAACTATGAAAGATTTTATTTACTCAAATGGAAAAAAAAAATTTGTTTACATTTATTGTGTATTAATGTTGGGGTAGAGGGTGTCACACCCCTAATTGTTTCTCATAGGGTTTCCCACAGGAACCTATAGAGCACTCTAATTTATATCAAAACTTATCTAATTTGAAAATTAAACATATATTCATGCATCACATCCAACTAGAAACCAACAGAAAACTCAAATATTAAAACAGAAAACTTTTATAATCTGCCTGTTCCTAGAGCATGCATCAAGCAAGGGATTGTGACCAATCCTACTACCCAACAATTATTCCCACAATCCCGAGTGAGGTTTCTCACTCTCCCCTTTACCTTGATGATCAAAAGATGAGGCACAAGCGAAATTCGGTTCGTCTCTTTCGCTTAGTTCTCCTTGATCTTCGAAGACCGTAAAAAGAAAATGAATAAGGAGAAGTCAGGAGAACGAAGCGTAAAGTAACTTCTGATAACTCTCTTGTTAAAATAATAATAATAAAAAGACTAACACGCCCTTCCTTTGTTTTCATAAAATAATTAATATAATTAAACATACCTCTTCCTTTAATCAAATAACATAAGCATAGTTATTAATATAACATATTTCATAAAAGTTACCTATATATCACTAATCAAAATAATAATTATAAATCACATCTCATAAATAAAATAGTGCTCATATAATTATTTAAATAATATCAAAACTCTAAATAATTACATTAAATATCAAAATAATAATTACAAATCATGCTTTATAATAAAATAGTGTTCATATACTTAAATATAGGGATGGCAACGGGGCGGGTCGGGTAAGGGTTTCATGATACCCCGTCCCCGTCCCCGCGAGTTAAACTCATCCCGTCCCCGTACCCGTACCCGTCGGGTATGTGATTTTCATCCCCATCCCCGTTCCCGTCGGGTATCGGGTATACCCGTACCCG